AGGAAACAACTGGTCCTTGAGCTTCCTCCTGCCTAAGACAAGAAAGCTGGTGGGGCAGGGGGTGACTGTGTGGGAAGGAGCCCCTTCAGGCTATCAGTTCCCTGCCCTCTGGTAGTGCCACGTCCAGGCCAATGTTGCTTCTCAATTCTCAGTAGCCTTATCATTCACAGGTGCCTCTAGCCTGCACAAAAGATTGACATAAGGTCACCCAAAGGATTCTTTTTGGAGGTTTTATTGTAGTTTTGTTTTGCATAAGAGTTTGTATTAAAGATCTTCAAAGGGTAAGGGATACACTAGCGATGGTCCCAGGTGCCTGGCCTCCAGTGCCCCATTCGGAGCAACCCTATCAGGGTCCTTTGCCATGTTAGTGTTGAGGTGTCCTGTTGGGAAGTTAAGGTCATTAAGAGAAAGGATGATGGCCTTGCCACAAACTTGCCTATGGCTTTCAGCCTGGGAGGCTACCACTAATTCATCACCATCTCCATGTGGCCGTTGCCGGACCCCAGATCCAGATGGCCCTTGGCTTATGGGCTTTTTTTTTTTCTCCCGCCCCCTCACTCCAGCTCAGATGAGCGATTTTTGAGGACAGCCTGATGCCATTCCTAGCACCTCTTGGCCAAAAAGTCCTTGGGATTTCACCTCTTGCTGCCAGATCTTCAGGTGTCTAGCAGGTCAAGAGTTACTTCTAACAGCAGACTGATTCCAGGAACCAAACTAGCTGCAGGGAGTTGTGTTCAAGTGTTCAAGTGTTCAAGTGGCGGCTCTGTGCTGAGGTTCTTGTTGCACACCTGCCAGTGTGTTAGCCAGGTTGCACAGCAGTTCCCTGGATCAACAGTGCGTGGAAGCTAACAGCTTCTGTGAGCTAAGTGAGCCATAGGCCAAGATTGGATGAGTTTTGCTTCTTGTTGTATTTCAACTATTGCATTATCCTGTAAGTTCCTTCATCTTTCATGACTAGCAGCCGCTCAGCCCACACGTACACATTCAGAATTGAGTTGGGTGTGTTGGTGTGTCTGTAATCTCAGAGCTCGACAAGAGGCTCAACTTCAGACCAGTCTGGGCTAAGAAGCAGGATTCCTCATCAGAAACCAATAGTACCTAAAATATTACTGCTTATAATCATGGTTCAAGACCAGAAATTGCAAATCAGTGCCCCTTTCCCCACGCCAGGCACTACCACTTCAAGACTCACCACCCTGGCACATTATTCACACAGGGTGCCCAGCAGCTGTGGGAGTGTTGAGGCTGTGCCTTCTCCAGCTGGGGTCTGATGGTGAGATTTTCCCAAGGATTTTTCCCCTTGGAAATCAGTATTCTCCCTGCACCTGTAAGGCCTCACAGCTCTTGTGTCAGGCCGAGATCTGAGCTGTTGGTCCATGGGGCTTGCCCAGCCTCCTTCCTGTGGCCCATAGAATTGGCCTGCCTCACTTCAGCTACCTCTTACAGCCCATGCAGGGGTTCCAGCTGTCGGGTATCAGCGTGGTAGGCTAAGAGGCCATAATGTATCTGTAGAACCTTGGCTGTTGGCTCCATTTCTAGGCACCCAGGACAATATCTAGATGGTAATCACTTCTTCCCTCCCCTCTGCTGACCAAACCTTAACAGTCACTACAGCTGCTCTGCTTTCCAAAGTCAGCCCAGGAGCCTGGGCCAGCTGCAGGGAGGTGGCCTGTCTGTGAGTGAGGCCAGTACCTCCTCACGTGGGTGAGTCCCATGCATGTGACCTCATTTTAGGACCAAGATCTGTGTTGGTTTATAAGATTGTTAGCTTTTTTCTAGAGGACCACAGCGGGTAAGACTTAGAGCCCAGGGCCCTTGGCTATGCCAATATTTAGGTCCTTGTCCAGCTGAAATCTTCATGTATACCATGTCAGAAGCACTTTTTTTTTTTTAATCTTTGTTTTCCATTTGGTTTTTGGACCATGGGCAGAGCTCAGGCACTTTGTGTGAGAATGTTGTTTCTGTAAAGATGGTTATTTAACTCTCCCTGGTCCCCACCTTGTTAGCTCTACTGAGGGCTGACCAGAGGCCAGTGGAGCTGCCTGGGTGTCTGCAGGGAGGCTGAGGCCTGCTGAGTGCTGCCCCAGCCCTCCCGCCTTAAGTAGCATGGGTGGGTCACCAGGCACCTGGTTGCCCCTCTTGACCAGCTTGGGATAAGAGGGCCACCTCTGTCCCCATAATTGCTTTCCTCTGCTACCCACACTTGTTTGAGGTTGTGCTGACAGGTTTTTCTTTTTCTCGTAGATTTTTTTTTTCCTTCCAAGTCTACTTTTCGTATTCACAACAGCCAGGGACTTGATGTATTTTACACCACATTAAATAGTCTGTTGCCTTATTTGTATCTCTGCTGATTGGATCATTTGATGTTTCTGGATCAGCCAAGTGGCCATAACAGTGTCCTGGCATCCTGCATATTCCAGAATGTCCTGTCTTCTACTGGCCACAAGTTTAGGACCCTGACAGATTGCTTGAACTGTGTTTGCTCTTGCCATTGAAAGAACATCAAAGGACTTTTAAGTAAAAAAAAATAATAATAATAATTTCAATAAGGTTTGGTACACACCTGTAAGGCCATCATGGAAAAGGCGTGATTGCTGTGAATTCCAGGCTACATCACCTAGGGTTATATACTGAAACTGTCTCAAGAGATGGGTGTGCCCTTAGTCACAACACTTCGAAGGGAAAGGCAGGAGGGTCTGTATGCAGTATTTCAGGGTGCCATTGTGATACCTTGTCTCACAGAAAAAGGGGTGAGGAATAGGTGCCGGATGGCTCACTAGGACCCACACGGAGAGAAAGTTCTTCACGTTATCCTTTGCTCCCAAAGCACAACTTCACACATGCTTGCGTATAATGTATACATGTCACTTTTTTTAAGTAATTGGTAGTAAAGGGGTGGGTTTTTTTTTAAGTAGGGAAAGCATTGAAAAGGACAAGTTTAATGACCATATTTGTAACAGTTGAACCCCAAAAGAAAAACTGGGCAATGGTGGTGCATAACTTTAATCCCAACACTTGGGAGACAGAGGCAGGCAGATCTATGTGAGTTCAAGGCTAGCCTGGTCTACAAAATGAGTTCCAGAATAGCCAGGGCTGTCTGTTTTTTTTGAAACCCTGTCTCAAAAAACCAAAAAAAAAATTTGTTAGTTGTGTCTTTAATCCCAGAGAAGGGGCAGGCAGATAAATCTTGTTGAGTTCAAGGCCATCTTGGTCTACTGATACTAAGTTTCAGCCCAGCCATGGCTAATGAGACCTTGTCTCAGAAAAGTAAAAAGGGAGCCGGGTGGTGGTGGCGCACGCCTTTAATCCCAGCACTCAGGAGGCAGAGGCAGGCGGATCTCTGAGTTAGCGGCCAGCCTGGTCTACAAGAGCTAGTTCCGGGACAGGCACCAAAAGCTACAGAGAAACCCTGTCTCAAAAAACAAACAAACAAAAAAAGTAAAAAGGATTCCCTGTGAATGTTTTCCAAGGTGCTCCAGAGGATGGGGGAAGAGGTGAGCTTTATGCCTGGGGTTTAGGTGTCACCTTAGGAAGTTTGAACCAGGCCTACTGAAGGAAGGTTTAAGCCGGGCGATGGTGGCGCACGCCTTTAATCCCAGCACTCGGGAGGCAGAGGTAGGCGGATCTCTGTGAGTTCGAGACCAGCCTGGTCTACAGAGCTAGTTCCAGGACAGGCTCCAAAAGCCACAGAGAAACCCTGTCTCGAAAAACCAAAAAAAAAAAAAAAAAGGAAGGTTTAAAACAGCTGAGTAAGGTCTATACCATTGACTGCCTACTGTGACATTGGCCTTCATCAGGGGAATGCATAAGGGCTTCTGGGTTCCTTAATTCAGCTGCTTTCCTGTAGGAGAGAACCTATAGGTGGCATCACCCAGCATCTTTCCTCTCTAGGTTTAGGCAGAAAAAATGGAGATGCTCAGCATCCTGGCACTATAGGGGCTTCGTTAGCCAGTACATGGGTAATACTCCGTGTACGCCCCATTGATCCCAAAGATCCTCCTGTTCTTCCGAGCAAAGCAGCTCTGCTGAAGCTTCTGGCCCCTCGGGAGGGGGCTGAAGGTGGGGACCGCAGAGGTGCTTCTGATCCTCTGCCACTGTGAGGGGCCTGAAACCTCTCCATCTCCATTGTCCCCCTCTCTCTTGCCCTCGGTGTTCAGAAGTCTGGAAATACTGTCCCTTCCTAAAGTGGTTTGGGTGTCTAAATTACCTGGGAAACATTTCTATATCACTGTTGGCAGAAACAACATGCCTGGGTCCCCAGCAGCCAGTGGCCCAGGTCAGGACAGCCTGCTGTTATCTCAGGGAAAGGGGAAGATGGATGTGTTTCCTAGGTTTGGGCAGCCTGGCTAGGATGCTACTCTCCTGTGGCGTTGGATGCTGCTCTGGAGGACTGAGCCAGGACCTCTGCCAGGTCTATAAATAGCGCCGCAGTGATGGAGCCTCCCTCCTGGCCGGCACTAAGATCAATCAACACTTCTGGGTCAGGCTCTTTCAGGAGCTCAGGTGGCCAGGTCTCCTACTGCTCTGGTTCTCCCTACATAGATGAGAAGAGATCCCGTTGGTTCTTCAACACTTACCAGCTAGGACTGTCTGGATGCTATGTGGCCCAGGAATGAGTGACGATTGGTTATTTTCAATAAAGTTGGAATAGCAATTATATTTAGGACTATAAAGATTAAATGTACAAAAAAGTCTAACAGGGCACTTGGATACTTGGCTGTCTTTATTTCTTCTGGAGGCTGCTGCCTAATTTTTATATGTTGCCTATACCCACGCATTCATTTATTCCCATCACCCCCATCCTGCACACAAAGCCACCACCATTTTGTAAGGGGTTCCTTCCAAACGTGACGAGAAACAGTATTTTAAATACATATCTAAGAGAGTATGCTCAATTCATACGGTGAGAGTCAACATGAGGACTCCTCCCGGTTCAGCTCCCAGTGAACCGAAGAGGGCTACTTTCTCTTTAAATGCAAATCACCTCCAGCCAGCCAGCTTAGCTCCCACCAGCTCTAGTTCCCGGCCGCGAAGAGGGAGATTACAGAGAAGCACCGTTCCCCCACTCCAGACCCCAAGCCTCCAGGTCAGTGGCTCCCCAAGGGATGTGGGAAGGGAGTGATGCAGAAGGGGGTAGGGTAACGCACCTGATGCTCTTTTTTGAAGCCAAGGTTCAGAATTGCGTGATTCCTTGGACACAGCCTCCCAGGCTGAGCGCGGTCACTGGCTCACACTGTTGCATGGGGAGACAGAAGTTGTCTCCCTTCTGCCCCGCCCCAGCCCCACTGATGCTACCCAGCTATTCTATGCTGCTGACATAAATGTGTATGCTCCTACTCCATCATCGCCATCTCAGGAGTGAAGCAACAGCTTTTTGACAGCATCTTGGACCGGGACCCCGTGGAGAGGCCCCAGCAGACCAGGTGCCTAGGCGGTAGGGCTGCATGAGAGCGAGGCTAAACTGTGCCGGCCATAGTTGGAGACATCGGTGGAGAGCCAGCCCCAGAGACTCTCACTGGAAAAGGCTAGAAGCTGTCCCAGGGACCTCCTAGGCACCCCCGGTATTTGCAGTTGAAGTGGAAGAGAAATGCCGGTATCTAAGGGAGGTGAGGCTGTGAGTCAGTCATTCCTAGTCACTGTGGTGGACAGGTTGACACTAGAGCCTTCCCCGGTGCCCCACCTTACCTTGGTCATATCTCCTACAGAGCGGGGCCTCGTTAAGACACCCGATCCTCAGTTGGCTCCCCTAGTCACGGCCACCTCTCCAGCCCCAGGCTTGTAGGCTGCAGTGGCAGGAAAACAGCGAGATGGGTCCACTCCAGCCCTCTCAGGCAGGCCCATGGGGTTCTTGGGAAGGAAAGGGCGTTGAGTAGCCTTGGAAGGTCCTTCAGATGCATAGCCACTGTCCAGCAATAGGCTGGCATTGGGCCCTGTACAGACAAAAGGACAGAGCTCCTGACTGCTGGACAGGAACAAGTTCTTGTCAGTTCTGAAGAGCTGCTGAGTGAAGGGGCTGTTTGGCCCTCTCCTTATCTTCCTTCCCAGGCCTGAGGTCCAATCAAGCACCCAATGGACGACAAAAAGAAGAAGAGGAGTCCTAAGCCTTGCCTGGCCCAACCAGCCCAGGCCTCAGGCACACTGCGGAGAGTTCCTGTGCCCACCAGCCACAGTGGCTCCTTAGCCCTGGGACTCCCTCATCTGCCATCACCCAAGCAGCGAACCAAGTTCAAGAGGTGAGTACAAGAAGGTGTTCGCCAAGAATGCAGGACCTCGGCTATGGGCTGAGCACTATGAGAAGGAGAACCCCCAGACATTAGCTGCCACGCGGTAATTGATGCCTTCGCGTGTACTGGCTCCACGTTCACGGGGGTGGGGTGGGGATTGAGACCCAGTGCTTGCCCTTGGATGCACAGAGAGAAAGCAGGGAGACACTGGGACCACACAGAGTGGGGCTGTATCTCTGCAGAGGAAGTTGCTGGACTCCCTGACAGGGAAGAACATTCAGAGCTGAAAAGCTTGCAGGGCATGAAAACAAAGACATTATTGCTGGAAGGCTCCAGGAGTGCTGAATAAACGCCTCCCCTCCGCAAAGATTTGTCCCCCTATCGGCCTCAAACTCACAGAGATCCACCTGCCTCTGCCTCCCAAGTGTTGGGACTAAAGGCGTGCACCACCACTGCCTGGCCATTTGTCCCCTTTTATTTCATCTTAGCGATGCTGGGGAATTGACCTCAAAATATTGGGCATGCGAAGCAAGCGCTCTACCACGGAGCGACCTCCCTAGCCTATTTAAGTTCTCTGCTCAATTCTTTTTTTTTTTTTTTTTTTTTTTTTTTTAAATATTTATTTATTATGTATACAATATTCTGTCTGTGTGTATATGTGCAGGCCAGAAGAGGGCACCAGACCTCATTACAGATGGTTGTGAGCCACCATGTGGTTGCTGGGAATTGAACTCAGGACCTTTGGAAGAGCAGGCAATGCTCTTAACCACTGAGCCATCTCTCCAGCCCCTGCTCAATTCTTTTTATGTTATTATTATTCTTTTTGAGACAAGGTTTCTTTTTGTAGCCCTGGCTGTCCTGGAACTTGCTTTGTAGTCCAGTCTGGCCTCAAACTCTGAGAGATCTGGCTTCTGCCTCCCAAGTGCGAGAATTAAAAGCATGTGCCACCACACCCGTCATGGTGGCACATACCTTGAATCCTCGCACTGGGTGGCAGAGGCTGGTAGATCTCTATGAGGCCAGCCTGGTCTACACAGTGAATTCCAGACCAGCCAAGGCTGCATAGTGAGACCCTGACTGAAAAGAACAAAACAAAAAAAGAATTTGGATCCTACAGTATAGGTGTCCCAGTTTGTTCCCGTGAATACGGTGTGGTGTGTTTCTTTCCCTAGCATTCTATAAAAGCCATGCTCCTGTGGATGTCTGTACCATCTGCCCGTCCAGCATGGGCCAGGGTGGCTATCGAAGCTGTAGCTGAAGCTCAGGGCTACTTGAATAGTAGGGGATGCAGCAGGAGAGGAAGGCAGGCCTGGCTCACTGGAGTGTTCACTGTTACTCTGGGGAGCAGAATGTATTACCCTGCTGCAGCCAGAGCCACACCTGCAAGGAGATGGAAAATTCACAACATTTTTGGAACGAGAGCAGGAAAATCTTTTGGTGGGAGGTGCTTTGCTGGCAGTAAAAAAGGAAGGCCAAGGCCGAGTGACCCACCCAGAGTCCTAGGAGCTACATGGGTTCTCAGACAGGAGGCTGGGTCCATCTCCTTGCAGGCACAGCTCCTGCTGCAGCACCATGGAAACAGACTTTCTGTCCTCTTCCTTCCTCCCCTTCCTTAGCTCCTTTCCCTCTCCCCATCCCACTGCTCAGGGCAAGACCTCAGCACAAACATCCATTTGTGTTGGTGAGTGGGCTGGGCAGATGAAGTAGTACAGAGAGACATGGCACCAGAGATCTGGGCGTGCCTGGCTGTTCCCAACACCCATGACCATGGTCATGTCCACTTCACTCAGAGTAGGCAAGGAGAAATGCCGCCCGGTGCTGGCTGGAGGTGGGGGCGGCTCTGCAGGCACGCCCCTGCAGCACTCCTTCCTGACTGAAGTGACTGATGTCTACGAGATGGAGGGGGGGCTGCTGAACCTGCTCAATGACTTTCATTCGGGTCGCCTGCAGGCCTTTGGTAAGTCCAGGGGCAGGGGAGTTCTGTGGATGGGGCTGGCTAGGGTCCCAGGCTGGTTCCTAAACTCAGGAGTTGTCCAGGGAAGGAATGCTCCTTCGAGCAGCTGGAGCACGTGCGGGAGATGCAGGAGAAGTTGGCCAGACTGCACTTCAGCCTGGACGTGTGTGGGGAGGAGGAGGACGAGGAAGAGGAAGACGATGGGGTCACAGAGAGCTTGCCTGAGGAGCAGAAGAAGACAATGGCTGACCGAAACCTGGACCAGCTGCTTAGCAATGTGGGTCATAAAACTGATTGTTTGGGATCTACCAAGGGTGGAGAGGGCACAGGTTCCCAACTCTCCCAGTGAAAGTCTGGGGGTACATGAACCCAAGATCTGTGAGTTCCTCCAGATCCACTAATAGGGCTTCCCCTGAGTATCCGCGTTTGTTCTCGGTCCCCTCCTGACAGAAACCTCCTTTTCTCTCTATTGACAGCTAGAAGATCTTAGCAATTCCATGTATCCTTTCCAAGGGGCTTGGTAGGGTCGTGTGTCTCTCAGCAGAGGGAGAAATCCTGCCTCCCTCTCGGCGTATGCACACATAGCAAACATTCCCATCTCCTGCAATCCTGACTCAGAGTGAGCCACAAACTCTCCGCATTTGAGAGAAGGAATGTAGAATTTCCTGACTGCTAAGAGAAAATGACATCACGAGCGGTGGCACAAAACTAACCTAGCCCTCCTTCAGAAAGCAGAGGCAAGCCCTGGCACGATTACAATCTCGGAAACTGACGTTCTCCTACCCTTGCAGCTTTTCATAATCATCCTTACTTAGCCTGTGGCCTGGTGTGGTGGCACTGGACACACACAGCCTGTGCGGATGGGGAGGAAGGTAGGTGGAAACACTGGGGTCCAAAGCGTTACAGTCCTTGACTGGCACAGACAGAAGCTGCACTTGGCAGAGAACGCTGAGCCTGAGGAGCAGCCGGCGTCGTAGGTGTTGGACCCAGGCCTAGCTGCTTCTCTCCTTCCCTTCAAACTGTGACTTTTTACGGACTCGGGAGGGTTCCGCAGCCCCCCAGGTGCTATGAAGTGGGGGGCACTGGATGGAATTAAACAAACGGAAAAGCCGCTCCTTTTCGGTGTCTTTCTTGCTTTTACCGTGCCGCACACTGGGTCGAGAAGAAAGGCTCGGGGCGGGACCGGATGGGGTGCATAGTTGGGTCGGAAGAAGCCGTGTGCGTGACCCTGGAAACAACGGGCGGGGCCCTGTGTTTGCGCCTGCTCAAGAGCGGCGTAGCCTATAGGTGCACTGCGCAAGCGCACGCATGCGGAGGATGCACAGCACAGGGCGGTTGGAGACGAAATGGACTCCGGCCTGATTCTTCAGAAGGTGTCGGCACTGCAGGTCGTGATAGAGCAAGTGCACCTCGGGTCAGGGACCCGGACTTTCGGCAAGATGAAGCTGTCACGTGGCGTCCCTTACCCGCACGGCACTGAAGAATGCCCTGCAGGGGCGGGGTCGGAAGAGCTAGAAGAACCTTAAAACGAGGGGGAGGGTCCAGCCCAGCACTTTCCGCCTCCCAGAGCTCCAAACCGTGATTGCCTGTCCCTTCCCCATAACTGTGTGCTTTCTCTGGCGCCCCGCCCCGCCATGACCTCTCAAGAAACATCTATCTTCTGAGCTAGGGGTGTAGTTCAGAAGTAGAGCGCTTGACTAGCATGTTCAAGGCCCTGGGTTCGATTCTCCAGCCGCCAGTAACCACAAAATCGAGCGTGTTTGCCAGGATACCTTTTTTCTTTTCCTTCCTTCCTTCTTTTCTTTCTCTTTCTCCTTTCTTTTGTGTGTGTGTACTGGGATTAAAGGCTTGCGCCACCACCGCCCGGCTCAAGATGCCCCTTTTGTAAAAGTGTTAAGAGGCATTTTCCCCGCTTCTCCACATTAGGCTTGTATCCGGGGCTTCTTGGTCCGGCGTCAATTCCAGAGCCTTCGAGCTGAGTATGAAGCAATTGTACAGGAGATCGAGGGTGACCTCAGCACACTTCGGTGGACTGGGGGCTGGATTCCCAAGCCCATATTTCTCCCAGAGGTAGTATATACCCCAGGGGTAAGAGAGAAGGAGAACCTGGTACAGGGTTCTGGGAAATGGTCTATACTATGTGTCTGCCTTGTGCCCCCAAGGCCAGAATCACTCACACTGCAATCCTTCGCCCTACCTCTTAGCCTACTAGACTGGTTTCCAGACATCTGAGGGGGTTTAACCCTTTGATTCTCATACCTCTCTGATTTTTCACAAGGCAAAATCTCATTGCTCCTGGAAAGCAGAGAAAATACCAAACCCAGAGCAGAAACTCTGGAGCTATTTCTCATGTAAAGACTCTGAGAAAGATGTCATCTTGGAGGAGATGGTGTTGAAGACAGGAGGGAGCCCAGCAAAACCAGGAAGTCTTTGCCAAGATGACGGCTCCTGGCTTCAAACTGAGCAGGGCAGGAGAGCCAGCCAGGAGAAGACCAGAGATATCTCCGTGTCTGAGGTGGACAATGCAGGTAAGTACTGCTTTGCCGCCTCTGCCTCCCAGCTGAAACACAGAAGAGTGCGGGATAAGTTACCGCCCTTCCTCACCCCTTCCCCCTGCCTGCCTGATGAACATGGAGGGCTGTTACCGCCCTTCCTCACCCCTTCCCCCTGTCTGACTAATGAACATGGAGGGCTGTTACCGCCCTTCCTCACCCCTTCCCCCTGCCTGCCTGATGAACATGGAGGGCTGTTGCTGCCCTTCCTCACCCCTTCCCCCTGCCTGCCTGATGAACATGGAGGGCTGTTACTGCCCTTCCTCACCCCTTCCCCCTGTCTGACTAATGAACTTGGAGGGCTGTTACCGCCCTTCCTCACCCCTTCCCCCTGCCTGCCTGATGAACATGGAGGGCTGTTGCTGCCCTTCCTCACCCCTTCCCCCTGCCTGCCTGATGAACATGGAGGGCTGTTGCTGCCCTTTCTCACCCCTTCCCCCTGCCTGATGAACATGGAGGGCTGTTGCCACCCTTCCTCATCCCTTCCCCCTGCCTGACTGATGAACATGGAGGCTGCCAGGATCTAGGACTGGACTAGTTCCCAGTGTCTACCCCTCAAGGCATTCTCCTTTTCTTCCTTTCTTCAAAGAAGTCACAGATCTGAGACTGTCCCAGAGACAACATGAGCTCCAGGACCAGCGCAACCATTTGGCCATGGAGTTGCTGTGGCTGCAACAGGCCATCAACAGCCGGAAGGAGGTAGGCACTAACTGAGACCCTTTCTAAACAGGTCAAGGGTGGGGAGGGGCCTTCTGCCATTCCTGAGCAAGCTTATTCCTGTTCTTTCCGAACAGTACCTCATTCTCAAGCAAACACTGAGATCCCCAGAAGCAAGCCAGACCAGAGACAAGCCTTACGTGTGCCTGGACCACAGGGGACAGACCTGTGGGAAGACCTGGCTGCAATCCAGCTGCCTCCTTAAGGACCAGTTGTGTAGGGACAGGACCGTAGGAGAGCCACACTCTGCAGATGACTCCTGCCGCAAGGGCAGATCGCAGCCCCAGAAACCCCTGTACAGACTAGCCAGTACAGGCAAAGACACAGTGGGGGCTAAGGGCAGGGAACTGTGCTACAGGAAGGCTGGACCACAGCTGCCTGCAGCATTAGACAGCCAGGCTGGAGGGGACAGGGCCACCAAAGGGCCAGATCATGGAGGACAGGCCTTTCATGAAACCTGCCTAGAGGATCAGACCCTTGGGGACCCCAAGTCTTGGAGTCCTTGTTCTGCAAAGGCCATGACACAGCTGCCCTCCCTCTGTGGACATCCAAATACTGTGGACACATACCCCGGAAAGCCGAGCTACAGAGAGGCTGACTGCCAAAGAGCTAGGCCACATGATTTGAGCACCTCAGAAGGTCACATGATTTGGGATGGGACATCGGCAGGGCTGGAACATAGTAGCCTGGATCTCAGAAGAACTAAGCCACCCAAGAGCCAGCAACCCCAGTGCTAGGAGTTCCAGCCATGGAACTACCAGTGAGCTTAGTGAGGAAGGGTGGGAAAACCAGAGGACTCTGCTGTGGAGATGAAGATCTTGTCTTCCCCAAGAGAGGATCAGTGGACGAGCAGTCCACAAAAACAGGACCATCAGGCAAGACCCGAGGATCCAGGAGAGTAGGTTCCCAAAGAGGATGCTATGAAAAGGCGTTAAGGGACCTGGTTCCACCTCTGTCTTCTGCCCTTGCTCCTGGCCATTCGTAGCTGTCAGGCCAAGCTGCAGGATTGTGCTGGCACAGTAGGGGAAAGAAGGGCATGCCCTTTTAGCCTCTGCCTGTCACTTCATCCAAATTTTACCTTCCCTTGGGATAAGGAAGGTGGGAGGATTGTGGAGAATAAAAGTTTTTCTTGGTTATGAGCTTGTCTGCTTTTATCTCGTGCATCTGACCAGGACTGATTCTGGGCCACCTGGGTCATCTCCCACTCACACAGCGCAGCATCCCCAAAGCCAGCTAGCATCCTCCTTGGGGAGCAGCCCCCAGACTGATTACGCTTGATCTCAATTTGAAGGAGCCCAAGCCCTGGAGAAGATTGGATGTGTGTGGGAATCTCTGTCTTCCTCCCGCTGAGCCCCAGGTCTTCCTTTTGTAATGTGAGCAGACTGGGCTGCACAAGACAGCTCAGTACTAGTGTTCACCTAGCATAGAAGGGCCAGGGTTTGGTCCCAGCTCTGCAAGCAAATGAAAAAATATGATCGTATCTACCCTGCACATGTGAGGCCCATCAAGGGCAGATCTGAGACCCTGCTTTCAGGAGAATGCACTTGTCCAAGGTGCCTGAAGCCTTCCTGGATAAGAAGGCAGGACTCCACCTTTGGCATAGCTCCCAGCCCTGGTTTAGTTGCTTGGCAACCGCTCTGTGTCTGTGAGTGAGGATATACTATGGCAGCCAAGAGAGTACTGGTGTATCGCAACGGGGACCCCTTTTTCCCAGGCCGTCAGCTGGTGGTGACCCAACGCCGCTACCCTACCATGGAGGCTTTCCTCTCTGAGGTGACATCAGTGGTGCAGGCCCCACTGGCTATCCGTGCCCTCTACAGACTTTGCGATGGCCACCCCGTCACTGAGCTGGCTGACTTGCAGAATGGAGGACAGTACGTGGCTGCTGGCTTTGAAGGATTCCACAAGCTCCAGTGAGTGGGTTGGGCTGGTCAAGTGCCTGGGGAGGGCCATGGGAGCAGCAGTTTGCCCAGTACTCAGCTCCAAGTCAGCCGGCTGGTTCTCCCAGAGCCTGGGGACAGGCTGTGCTGGAAGAGCAGCGCGGTGAGAGAACCCGGCATGAGTCTACATGATCAACTAATAAGTGAGCTGTGACTCAGATTGCATTCTGTTACTCAAGCTAGTGCCCGCCACAACCAGGACCAGCCCATGGGGATGATTCTCAAGTGGAACTTTGTTTAGGAATTACTTTCCCCCCAACTGCTGCCTGCCTTCTGAGATGGTTTCTCTGTGTAGCCCTGGCTGTCCTGGAACTCTTTGTGGTTGTTGTTGTTGTTGTTTAAGACAGGGTTTCTCGCCGGGCGGTGATGGCGCACACCTTTAATCCCAGCACTCGGGAGGCAGAGGCAGGCGGATCTCAGTGAGTTCGAGACCAGCCTGGTCTACAAGAGCTAGTTCCAGGACAGGCTCCAAAACCACAGAGAAATCTTGTCTCGAAAAACCAAAAAAAAAAAAAAAAAAAACCAAAAAAAAAAAAAAGACAGGGTTTCTCTATAGCTTTGGAGCCTGTCCTGGAACTTGCTCTATAGACCAGGTTTGCCTCAAACTCACAGAGATCTACCTGTGCCCTCTGTCATCTGAGTGCTGGGATTAAAGGCCTGCGCCACAACCACCCAGCTGGAAATCACTTTCCAGATCAAGATGGCCTCAAACTAAGAGATCTGCCTGCCTCTGCATCCCAAGTGCAGGGATTAAAGACCTGGTTGCCACACCTGGCCAAGGATTTATTTTCTGTCCGAGGGTTTTGCCTGCATATAAATTCTTTGTTATGCCTGGTGCCCTCAGAGGACAGAAGTGGATGCCAAATCCCCTGGACCTAGACTTAAGGATGGTTGTGAGCCACTGTGTGAGTACCAGGAGCTCAACCCAGGTCCTCAGTAAAAGCAGAGGGCTCTGGACTGCTGAGCCCTCTCTCCAGCTTTTTGTTTTTTGAGACAGGATTTTCTGTGTAGCTTTGGAGCCTGTCCTGGAACTCACTCTGTAGATCAGGCTGGCCTCAAACTTATAGAGATCCACCTGCCTTTGCCTCCTGAGTGCTGGGATTAAAGGTGTGCGCCACTACTGCCCGGCTTTCTCCAGCCTTTTTAATCTTGCGTGTTTGTCATGCAGGTCAGGGAACAACTTGCCAGTTCTTTCTTTCCTCCATGTGGGCTCTAAGGACTTTGGCAGCAAAATGCCTTTGCTTGCTAAGACATCTCTCTACTCCTAAGAGCTGTTGATTAAATCCATGCCATCACCACCAAACCCTAAAACTGTCCACTTCCTCCCTGCTGCGCTTAAGCGTCTGAAACTCCTGCTAGAGTAGGGACATCTCTTTCAGCAAGATGAGGGTCAGGTGGTAGATAATAATCCCAGCACTCAGGAGGCAGAGGCAGGCGGATCTCTGTGAATTCAAGGCCAGTCTAGTCTACAGTGCTAGTTCTAGGACAGCCAGGACAGGAGTACACAGAGAAACCTTGTCTCAAAAACTACACACACACACACACACACACACACACACACAAATGACTTGAGCTTCCCACGCAGGCCTAGCTCCTAACCCTGCTCTGAACACTGAGCTGGGGTAGTTTAAGTTTATTATAGGGAAGGAACATGGTGTCTGGACACTCCCTGTGGAATTCTGAACAAGCCACATCTTTGACTGTCACCTCATGAGTGGGGAATTTCTGGACTACAGTAAGATACTTATGGCTTCCCCCAGCCTTCAACACCTAAAAGCCACATGGATTTATAGCCTGACTCAGTTCTCTGGGATCCTGCAGCAAGTTCAAATGTCCACATGTTCCTGGCCCAGAAAAGGCAGAGTGCTCCAGTGAGGAGGGACACTTAGGGTGCTGGGCAGCTACTGAAAGATGGCCTCATCCTAGCCTAAGGGAGAGTCTGAGATGCTTAGCTACAGCAGGAGAAAGAAAGGAGAGATGATTGGGGGAGGGGCAGGAAATCAAATGAGAGATTTTGGAGTCAGACTAGTAACCACCTGGGAGGTGGTGGTCAGAGGCTCAGAAGTTGAAACTCATCTTGAGTCACATAGAGTAGACTGACCCACTTGAGGGACTCCATCCTCCTGTCTCAGTCTACTTTGGAGTGCTAGATCTGTATTGGCTCCTAGCCCTGGCTGTCCTGGAATCACTCTATATTCCAGATTGGTACTGAACTCATTGAGATCCACCTGCTTCTGCCTGCTTGTCCTTTCAGCTCTTTGCCTCCTGGAAGGAAACACCCAGGCGGGAAAAGCGGCCGACAACACGTAAGTCCAGGGAGACTGCAGCCTTTCTTGTCCCATCCCTCCCCCTAGGACTGCTCCAGTTTTGTGGGTGGAAGTCCTGGAAACAGCAGGAGGTGTCCAGTCCAGGGGACGGATGTGCCGTGCTCACTCCAGTCCCTGCTCAGTCCCTGCCTTTTACCTAATCTCCAGGCCACGCCAAAGAAGGAGTCAGTTGTGAAACCCTGGGCAAGGGCAGGAGTCATGTGACTCAGGGACTACAGGTGCACCTCTCAGAAAGGTGTGAGCACTTGTCCCTACTCACTCGCTCTCCTGCACAATTTTGCTTCCTGCCTGCTCAGCCCATGTTCTTAGAACCATCCAGTCCCAAGCGAAGTCTTGGACTTTCCCTGGCTTGGGTTTCAGGAGCCTCTCATGTCTCACCCCCCATGTGACGGGGCCTCTGGACAGTGGCTGCCAGCAGACACCCCCTGCTATATCCTGTGAGTGCCGGCCCTGGGGCTGGGGGTTTGGATTTCTGTGTCAGTAGGTTTTTCCAGGAGCCCCATTACACATGGGGAAATTAAAACTGGAACATGTAAAGTGCTTCTTGGGTCACTTTGTGCCCCTTTCACATGTGGCGTCTCAGGGACACATCCCCTTACCTGGCTGTTCTTTGTCTCAGTGTGTTCAGGAATGGGGACCTGCTAAGTCCCCCCTTTAGTCTGAAACTGTCCCAGACTGCCGTCCAGGACTGGGAAATGGTACTGAAGCTGCTGACGGAGAAGGCCAGGTTACAGAATGGGGCTGTGCACCAGTGAGTATGGGGACTGGCGGGGGGGGGGGGGGGGGGGAAGGGCAGGCTCCCAAGAGCCCTGCTGCTCTTAAGTTGGGAAGGGCATGAAAAGGCATGTTCTCTCCAGCAGGGCTTTCTTTTGTGCCTCGGGACGGGCTCTCTAACCCAGCCCTACAAATCAGGCCAGAACCTAGGTTAACACTGCCCAGAGGACCAAAGTCAGAGGATCCCCCAGGAGCTGTCCCTACCTCAGCATCTGCTGGCGGAGAGTAGTCTGTTACCCAGCAGCCCTCATCACTTCTCCCCCCAGACTCTGCACCCTCAGGGGGCTCCGACTGTCAGCAGGCACAGCTCTGGTGAGTGGCCGTCACTACGTGGCTGTCGGAGAAGAGGAGTTCAAAGCCCTCCCCTACATGGAGCTGTTGGTGCCCAGCCCCTCTCTGTCCAAGGGCTGCTGGTATGCTTGTTTGAGGTGGAGGGTCACAGGTCACAGCAGGGGAAGTGCCCCCTGCCTGGGAGCTACGACTGTGCTCCTCTGTCCACTACAAACCTGTCTCTCACTGCAGGTATCCTCCAGGCCGGAAGCAGATGTCCCACAGGCAGGGGGTAGGTAAGAGTGGGATGCAGGGGAATGACTGGCTGAGGGTTCCTATGAAGTAGTGATTCCCCCTCCTTGGGCTAGGAGTTATAGAGTGGCACATGGCATGCCAAATGCCTCCCCCTAGGCTGGCTGTTGGAACTGGCTACTTGGCATAGCAGGGCCCAATGGAACCTCCACTCACCACCCCATTCCAGGCCTCCATTCTCCCAGATGAACCAGTGAGCATGTGGCACCAGAGTAGAAAGCAGCCTGTTTTCCCTGGGCATCTTTGGATGCTAGTATCAAGCGCACTATTCCTGGGTGGACAGCCAGAGAGGAGCAAATGCGGGCGGGAAGGACGCAGACTCTATGGGACATGGCCCTCACAAGCCTGTAGGCAGCAAGGCACGCTGGGCAGCAGGGGAGGTAAGAACAGTCAACAAATGGATTCTAACTCCGTGTCCCTCCTGTAGGCCCAGGGCCACCAGGCTCAGGCAGCTCAGCCTTCTCCAGAGGAACCGAGACAAACTGAGCCATCTGCTTTCTATGCCAGATCCCAGCAGTCCACTAGGCCAGGAAGCAGGCTCTCTCCCCTCTCACTTCCATCAGGTGAGGAGGGGCGGGCCCTTCACATCACTCCCTCCTGCTTACACTCTGGGAAGCAGGCCAGCTCAGGTCAGGTCCACCACATGCTGGAGGTGTCTGCAGGGGACTTCAGCAGAGCTGAGTGCCAGTCTTCCACCTCCAAGTCACTGATTCTTTCATAGGGACATATGTAAAAACCACACAGAAAAGACATTGCTTAAAGTCAAGAGGTCCAGAGGTAGAATCGCAGCTGGGAGCTAAAGGCAAGCCTCCAACTTCCCTGCCCTCCTAGGAGGCATTGGAGAACGTGGGACCAGGCTCAGGGGAAGGAACTGGTGTAGCAGGTGAAGGCAGTGAAGGCGGAGGACCCTCTCAGCCTGGGCGTCAACCAATGTTGCCTCCTTATTAGGAGTTAAGGGAGTTTATGGAGCTTCCTACCCAAGGAAGGAGACAGCTGGGGCTCAGGAAGTGGATGAAGACGAGAACACCTGCATAGAGGAGCCTGTGGGTCAGGTGAGCCCATCAGATTGGGAAGCCTTACCCTGAGATGGCAGAGGTCTGAGCCAAAGTCTGGGCTCCCAGGACACATCTTCCTGGTGACCGAAAGCCTGCCCTCCTGTTTCCTAATTACTGAGGCTTTCTCATTCCCAGTCTCCTTTCCTGGGATGGGGACTTCTGGCAGTGGAGGCAAGCTGGGCATCTGTATGGCTCTGTATGTTTCCACATGTCCACCAGAGGGCAGCAGAGACAGGGGAAGAGGCCTTGTCCCTCAACATCTGCCTGGCCAGGGAGAGGCAGCCTCATGTTCAGCCAATGCGTGTGCCACCATCTTAAGTGCCAGGAACGCCAGTCAGAAGCTGAGGACAACCACTCCAAACCACCCCAGCTTTCAGCAGCCTGCTCCCAAGAAGCCGGGCCTCACTGGGCTTGCAGAAGGTATGGCCTCCTCAGCCCCTCCCCATTCATAAGCCCGCAAATTCTGTAGAGGCCACTTCCTTGTGTGATTCCCTGACAGATAAAGGCACCGCAGACTGGGTTTAGGAGCAGGCTTGTCACAATAAAGTAATACTTGTTAAGCTTTGTTTGCTGCAGATTTATTAAAAGCTGCTGCTGGCCAGGTGTTTGCAGCGGTGAAGTGCTGCTCAGGCACAGCTGTCTCCTTACTCGAGGAACTGGAAGTTGAGCTCATTTTTCTTCCATCTGCCATGTAACCACTCTCCCTGAGTAATGCCCAGTGATGAGGCTGTGGAGCTGCGGTTCAGAGACTGCAGCCAGCCCTTTCCACACAGCCGAGGCTATGTGGACTGGAGCAGGCCAGCAGGCCAGTAACAGACGGCTGCTGGGCAGGGCTGCTGGGGGTATGTGTGTAAAAGTCTCCAGTGTGAAATCTCTTCTCCTTCTCTCTCATGCAAGGCTTCTCTGTGTAGCTGCCTTCTGAGTGATGGGATTAAAGGCACATGCCACTACTCCTGGCTCCAGTGCTAAATCTCAATAGCTGAACCCACCAGAGATTACAAAACCATCCCAGGGCTGGTCCTTGGTCCTTTTTCCTTTTTTTCTTATATTTTTTTCTTTTCTTTTCTTTTTCTTTTTGGTTTTTTGAGACAGGGTTTCTCCATGTAGCCTTCCTTGGCTGTCGTGGAATTCTGGACCCTGAGGTAGATGTGATGCGAGAGATGAGGAGGCTATAGTGAGCCAAGCTGGGGTACCCCCGGCGCACCTCGGCCTGGAGTCCGCTGAACACAGCAGAGCACAGACAGCAGAGCTGAAGGTCAGGGCTGGCCCTGGGTCTTGGTCACCGAGCTTGTGATGCAAAGCGTGACCCCCGTGATGGCGAGTACCATGCCAGCCACTGCCTCTGAGATAAAGAAAACATCAAGGGGCTGGGGGTGAGCTGGGCCAAGGAAGACTGACGGGGCCTGGTCCCGATTCCTACCCCAGGGCAAGATCAGGGAAGGCCTCTCCTCTCCCACCCACGGGAGACAGACTCGGGGGAAATGCTCACATACGTCAAGGTCCAAGCGGCTATCCTTACAGGCAGCAGCCTGACTTACGTTTTCCACCAACATCTTCTCCAAGGATCTTCCCAACAATCAGCGTGAAGACCATGGCCAGAGAGTTACAGATGGGCACAGCTAAAGTCAGATCTGGAAAGTGAGAACAAGAAAAATCCCTAGAGGCAAAGATGCCTTTCTAGAGACAAAGTCCTATCTATCATCATCACCACCATCACCACCTTTACAAAAGTAGCACAACACAGACATGGGAGTAAACTTAATCACTCTGGGGGCCAGGTGGTGGTGCACACCTTTAATCCCAGTATTTAGGAGACAGAGGCAGGAGGATCTCTGAGTTCCAGGACAACCAGGGATACAGGCTATCTCAAAAAAAAAAAAACCAGGCAAAAACAAAGAAAGAAAAACAAAAACATCACTGTGAAAGCAGTTCTAAGAGGAAATGTCATAGCACTAAGCGCCCACATAAAGAAAATGCAGAAAGCTGACACCAGTGACTAAACAGCACACCTGAGAGCTCTAGGCAGAAGCAGGCGCATCTCTGTGAGTTCAAGGCCAGTCTGGTCTAGCATGGGAGTTTCAGGACAGTTTGGGCTAAACAATAAGATTCTGTCTCAAAAATAAAGAAAACTGAGCATCATGAGGCAGATACTGGGAACATACCATGATCCCAGTGACCAGGAGGCTGAGGCAGGAGGATATCCAGTTCGAGGCCAGCTTGGGCCACACAGCACAACTCTATTAAAGGTGGGGGTGGTCGGGGAGATGCCCGGTCAGTCAGTGCCTGCCATGAAAGCACAGAGGTCTGAGTCTGGATCATTCCCGCTGTGAAAAGCTGGGCCAGGTGGACTGTGTCTGTAACCTGAGTGGGGGAGACAGGAGGGGCAGAGATGGGTGGGGCCCTGAGCCAGCTGGCCAGCTCGGATGGGCAACCAGTGAGCTCTGGTGCCAGACAGCGACCCTGTCTCAAACACCACAGTAGAGGGTGATTCTGAAAGACACGCAGCATTGACTCAGCTTCCACACCCGAGCACAAGCATGTACCCCTGTAAGCCACACACATGACTAGAAACAAGGCCACGCAGCGTGTGCACAGCGGTGCTCCTAGCACACAGGAGAAAAGCGGACTGCTTCAAGTTCAAGGACAAACTGGTCTATATACTGAATCCTACCCAGGCCAGCAAGGGTTACAAGGAAGATTTTCTGAGGATGACCCTAAATTTCTGCTCCTCTTGCCTCCACCTCCTAAGTACTAGAATTAGGGTGGTTAACCACCACGAAGGGTTTATTTGGTGCTGAGGATGGACCCAGAGCTTTGTGCAGGCTGGGTAAGCTCTCTACCAAATGAGCTACATCCCTGGCACAGCTTATAGCCATTAATATACAATTTCAAATCCCAACTAGCATTCTGTTGGGATTAAGGCAAGCATGGTAAATTCCCCAATATTATAATTTATGAAGTTAAGCATGTTTGTCTCCGAAGGTCATGATATGAATATGTAATCTGATGTATTAGGAACAGTTAAGAAACATTTGGAGAAAGAAAATTTATATTTATTGAGCCTCTACTGTATGTCAGGCACTCTGTTAGACACACTGAATCAATCTTCTTCACAATGCTATGAGGCCCACTATCTAAAAACCAAGATTTAAATAAGGGGCTTATTTTAGGCTAAGAAAGCAGTGCACAGTGGAATCAGAGTCATCAGAGCCTCGCTTACACGGGTGACTGGTGAACACACCTCTAATCCTAGCACTCGGGATACAGAGGCATGAAGATCATGATTTTGGAACTAGACTGAGTTACACAGTGCGACTCTGTCTCAAAAACAGCCAACAAGGGCCAGGAGGATGCTCAGTGGTGAAGGCACCTGCCATCGAGACTGAGGATCTGAGCTCATCAGAGCACCTACAAGGTAAAAGGAGAGAGCCTCTTCCCAAATCTTGTCCTCGACACACACACACGCATGCACACATGTGTACACACACAGAGAGAAAATAAATGCAATGAAAAAATAAAAGTACTGAGCAAAAAGAAAAACTATCCCCCACACAATAAGTCCCCTCCTCCCAAAATAAAGAAAACAAGTCAGCACTTACGACAGCAAAATGAACTTTCCCTCTCCTGCTGCTGCACGAGACGGCCACACTCACACCCACCTCACTGCCCCTGGGACCCGGAGGGGGATTAGAAATAGATGTTCTCCCTCAAGGTATTTCTGGTTCCCTTCATAAAATATGGCCTCCACCGCGGAGGACTTCCAAGCCAGAGACCCACCTGTTGATGCCAAGGTCAGGTAGTAGAGAAGGGAGCCACTCTGGTTGAGGAGAAAGGGCATCAGATACTGGAAAGAGGAAAAGTCTGTCAACATTGCCTGCTCACGCAACATCATCATCTGACCTGCTAGCACAGCGGTTCTCAGCCTTCCCAGCGCTGCAACTCCTTAACACAGTTCCTCGTATCCTGGAGACCCCCAGCCATACAATTGGTTCATTGCTACTTCATAACTGTATTTTTGTCGCTGTTCTAAATCATTTTACTTATTTTTTTAAAGATTTATTTATTTATTATGTATACAACATTCTGCTTCCATGTAAGCTCACATGCCAAAAGAAGGCACCAGATCTTGTTACAGATGGTTGTGAGCCACCATGTGTTTGCTGGGAATTGAACTCAGTATCTCTGGAAGAACAGCCAGTGCTCTTAACCAGTGAGCCATCTCTCCAGCCCCCTCATTTTACTTATTTTATTCTCTGCATAACCATCTATGCACCAAGTGCAGACAGTACCTTCTAAGGCCAGAAGATGGTGTCAGAGTCCCTAGAACTGGATTTACAGACAGTTGTGAGCTGCCATGTGGGTGCTGGGAATTGAACCTGAGTCTTCCATGAGAGCAGCTAATGCTGTTAATGGCAGACCCATCTCCCCAGTGCCTCCACTATTAATTGTAATGTAAATATCTGATATCCAACCCTAAGGTGTCATGACTCACCGGTTGAGAACTGCTGTTCTTACACAGGCTTTTCCCCGAAAGGGGAGGGATAAATAAATGCCCATGTTTATTATTATATATAATAAACAATTTTTATTTCAACAACATATCTAATACAAATAATTAATTTATAAATAAATTCCCAGGAAGACTCACCTACTTGAGGACCCTTTTAGGGCACAGAGAAAAAAAATTCAATGTATACTCTTGCTGTAAATGCCCTCTCCCTCAACTTGGCCAGTTCCCATCTTCCCTAAGCCTGTATGGCCTTGAGTGCCAGTTCACTCCTTCCAAGAAGTCCACTCCCGGTCCTGCAGCTCCATCCCTCTCCTCGGAACTCACAGGACTCCATCTCTTCTCCCCTTCTTCCCCTTGGCCCAGAGAGTCCTGCAGATCTAGCTGGCTGCATACCTGGGCAGACCTGGGCTGGAGGCAATTCCTCAATGCCCTTCCTTATGGTCTTCGCCAGGGCAAACTGAACCCAAAGAAAGCTTTTGAAAAGGCTCACAGTAGTTCTATAATTGGTGAAGTAGCAATAACAATAATACCAGCCATGGACAGAATATATATGCTGTAATAGGCCCAATGCTAAGTGTTTTATGTGTCTTACCTCAATTCTTTTGTTGTTGTTTAATTTTTCGAGACAAGGTTTCTCTGTGTAGTCCTGACTGTCTGGAACTTGCTATGTAGACCAGGCTAGCTGCGAACTTACAGAGATCGCCTTTGCTTCCCGAAGGCGTGCACCACCACCACCGCCCCGTTCCCTCAACTATCACATCTGCCCTACACATTAGTCATCATATAGTTTCCATTTTACCAAAGATAACGCCGAGGATCACAAGGAATAAGTGACTCCTCCTGGAGCTTCTAGTGAGGAGGAGGTGGGCTGGGATGCTGGCTCAGCGGCTCCTGCGAGGGAGCGCCAGTCCACAGACGCACCTCAGTATTCAAGAAGAGAGTCTTCATCTCCTGCAGCAGCTGCCGGGCCCACGTCTGCTCATGCACTTGCTGCAGGCCGGCGGAGGCCCGCTTCAGCAGAGGCTGCGTGCCACCCCAAAGGGCGGCCACCAGCACCAGAGCGAGGACCTGCCCTGAAAGCAAAGGAGCAGAGTCACCCAGGTCCTCCCCGGCCTTCTCCGGCTCGGCTGACCGGCTCCATCTTCCTCCCGAGCTCTCCGCGCTGGGCTGCGCTAGGCCGGGAGGTCCCGCACCGACGGTGGGGGAAGTGAGTCCGTCCCGGGCTTAGCAGGGCTGGGGTTCACGGGTGCCGGGGGTAGTGAGATAGGAGACCCTAGCCGGAGTCAGTGTCCGCGGAGGGGCGGGGCCAGCTACCCACCCAGAGACGCCGCCATGGTAACGCCAGGCCCCTCTACTTCCGGGAGTCAAGGGGCGGAGTCCCCGCAGCAGGAAGTTGCCTCTAGTCCACGTCCGGTCCTACTCACATTGCCTCTCCTCGCGTCAGCGCCGGGATGGTGAGTGCCGGGCATATGGTGCTGCCGCGTGGGGTGCTGTGGTTGTGGGGCCGCAGTCGGGGTGGGACGGGATTCCTGGCGCTGACACTCCCGCTCTGTCCACGCAGAAGCCCATCCTGCTGCAGGGCCATGAGCGGTCCATCACTCAAATCAAGTACAACCGCGAAGGAGATCTCCTCTTCACCGTGGCCAAAGACCCTGTGAGCGGCGGCGGGAGGGAGGGAGGGAGAGAACGCGGGAGGGCGGGGCACCCGGAGGGACGAATTCGCACCCTCGGGTGGTGGGTGAACAAGCCTTGCTGTCTGAGGGGAATTCTTTTGAAAAGCAGGTAGGCTAGCGACAGCATTCTACTTGGGAGACCTAAGATAAGTTGATGGTCGGTAGGAACGAGTACCCAGGAAGAAGAGAAATAAGACTGTGTGGTGGGGGGCCTGGAGGGAGGGGATCAGCCCTAGTGACTCGAGGATGGGAAGAACCAGAACGCGCAGCCTCTACAATCTGGAGGATAAAGTTGATCCGTGAGCCGTGCCATTATGGGGGTCTTGGGGTTGTAGTTCAGACTCCAGTGATTAACGTGTGCACCTAGCTCTGGGTTGGATCCCTAGCACCAGAAAGGGAAAGAGGAAAGAGACGTGGAATTTAGTGAGGCTGTCCATAGCTTAGTCTGTTCAGTCCGTGTTGATACTCAGTGCTCCGTCTCTTTGGGTACTGCCTTTTGAGGCATTTGTACGAGGAGACAGTTAACTGATGCTATCAGTGGGTAGTCTGAAGTCAGAGCTTGACGTGAGTCCTAACCCCTGCACCTGCTAGCAGCGTGACTTGGAACCTGACATTATGCCGTTCTAAATTACAATTTTCCCTTTTAATAAAACATGGAACTTCAAGAACCTCCCTCAACAAAATGAGGTCATTAAATGCTTTCTCACTGCACCTGGTGTATGGTAGTCACTTCCATTTTATGTTTCTCAGACATTTATTTTATTGGAACTTCACAGCCGCCCTTTGAGGAAAGATGTTGGCAAGGATGGGTTGTCTTTCCAAGCTGACCTGTGCCTCCCCATCCTCCTGCCTCAGCCTCCCAGTGCTGGGGATATAGGTGTGTGCTACCACACACAGCTTGCTGTTTAATATGTATATTTATATATAATGAGTTTGTTGATTTTTATGGGCATGCGTGTTTTGCCTGCATTGTATGTGCATGTGTATACCTGGTGCCTGAGGTGGCCAGAAGAGGTTATCAGATCCCCTGGGACTGGATTTACAGACGGTTGGAGCTATCACATGGGTGCTGGGAATCAAACCCAGGTCATCTGGAAGAGCCGCCTGTGCTCTTTGAGCGGCTCTTTGACCTCCGAGCCATCTCTCTAGCCCTTTTAAAGATGACAGAGTTAGCTGGGCAGTGGTGGTACGCGCTTTTAATCCTAACACTTGGGAGGCAGAGGTAGGCGAATTTTTGAATTTGAGGGCAGCCTGGTCTACAGAGTGAATTTCAGGACAGCTAGGGCTACACAGGGAAACCCAGTTTCAAAAAAAAAAAAAAAAGGACAAAGTTCAGAGGGAGGTGACAAAGTAGCACTGGAGCCCATACGTCCTTACTGCCATCTGTCCAGTTAGACAGGACACCAAATGTTTTTTTGGTTTTTTTTTTTTTTTTTTTTTTTTTTTTTTTTTGATTTTTCGAGACAAGGTTTCTCCGTAGCTTTTTGGTTCCTGTCCTGGATGGAACTAGCTCTTGTAGACCAGGCTGGCCTCGAACTCACAGAGATTCCGAGTGCTGGGATTAAAGGCGTGCGCCACCACCGCCCCGCTACACCAAATGTTTTTTGTTGTTGTTTTTTTCCCCAGAGTGGAACTCACCTTGCCCTTTGACTGGTTCAATAGTGCTTACCTTTAGGAAGAAGAAAACCCAGGAGCTGGTCTGCTTTTATAGTGCTCCTCTAATAAAGGAGCAGAGGGCAGACTGGGCTCGGCTAGAGTCTACAGAGGGTTTGTTGGGCCAACTAAGCTGTTGCTTTTTCTGGGATGTGACCCGGCCTGTCATTCTACTCTTCCAGATCGTCAATGTGTGGTACTCGGTGAATGGCGAAAGGCTGGGCACCTACATGGGCCACACTGGCGCTGTGTGGTGTGTGGATGCTGACTGTATCCTTTTGGCTGTGAGTCAGTCAGCCCTGAGATGCTGGCTATGAGGTTGGGAGTTTGACAAGCTATGGCGCTCTGGAGAATAGGGTCCCCTACTCCCAGTTGCTTCATCGGTGGGGGAGACAGAAGAAGGTTGGAACACTCTGAGGTAAGAGAGTGAGGTAGGCTCTTTGGGACTGAACTGGAAGACGCTTTGGATGACTTCCAAGAGAACACAAGGTTGTGTGTATGTATATCTTTGTCTGTGGTGAATCTGTGTATGTGAACCAGGTGTATGTATATCTGTGTCTGTGGTGAATCTGTGTGTGCGGACCAGGTGTATGTATATCTATGCCTGTGGTGTATCTGTGTGTGTGGACCAGGTGTATGTATATCTATGCCTGTGGTGTATCTGTGTATGTGGACCAGGTGTATGTATATCTGTGTCTGTGGTGAATCTGTGTATGTGGACCAGGTGTATGTATATCTTTGTCTGTGGTGAATCTGTGTGTGCAGGCCAGGTGTATGCATATCTGTGTCTGTGGTGAATCTGTGTATGTGGACCAGGTGTATGTATATCTGTGTCTGTGGTGAATCTGTGTATGTGGACCAGGTGTATGCATATCTGTGTCTGTGATGAATCTGTGTGTGTGGACCAGGTGTGTGTATATCTATGCCTGTGGTGTATCTGTGTGTGCGGACCAGGTGTATGTATATCTATGCCTGTGGTGTATCTGTGTATGTGGACCAGGTGTATGTATATCTGTGTCTGTGGTGAATCTGTGTATGTGGACCAGGTGTATGTATATCTTTGTCTGTGGTGAATCTTTGTGTGCAGGCCAGGTGTATGCATATCTGTGTCTGTGGTGAATCTGTGTATGTGGACCAGGTGTATGTATATCTGTGTCTGTGGTGAATCTGTGTATGTGGACCAGGTGTATGCATATCTGTGTCTGTGATGAATCTGTGTGTGTGGACCAGGTGTATGTATATCTATGCCTGTGGTGTATCTGTGTGTGCGGACCAGGTGTATGTATATCTATGCCTGTGGTGTATCTGTGTATGTGGACCAGGTGTATGTATATCTGTGTCTGTGGTGAATCTGTTTATGTGGACCAGGTGTATGTATATCTGTGTCTGTGGTGAATCTGTGCAGGCCAGGTGTATGCATATCTGTGTCTGTGGTGAATCTGTGTGTGCAGGCCAGGTGTATGCATATCTGTGTCTGTGATGAATCTGTGTGTGCAGACCAGAAGTCAGCATCAGCTGTCCTCCTTAGTTGCTCTTCAACCTTTCTTCCTTTCTGAAGGATGTAGTTTTATTTATAAGGATGTTTTTCCTGCATGTGTGTCTTCTTGTGTGCAGTATCCTGCATGTGTGTCTTCCTGTGTACCACGTATGCAGTGTCAGCAGAGGGTAATTCCTTAGAACAGGAATTACACATGGCTTTAGCCACCCTGTAGGTGCTGGAAGACTAACCTGGGTTGTCTAGAAGAGCGACCACCGAGCCATCTCTTCCGCCTCCCAATCCCGCCAACTACCCCTATGTACTGGCTGTCCTGAAATTTGCTCTATAGACCAGGCTGGCCTTGAATTCAGAGATATGCCTGCCTCTGCCTCTTGAATGCTGTGATTAAAGGTGTGTACCACCACTGCCACTCTTTTTTGAGGCAAAAATCGGACCTGTCACTAAATCTGGAATTCACGGATTAGGTAGGTAGGCATGGCTCTCTAATCACTGAACTTTCTGACTTTACCTCTCAGCACTGGACTGCTGGCACACCTGGGGATTCTAACTGAGCTCCTCATGGTTGCATAGCAAGGACTTCATCCAGTGAACTGTCTCTCCAACCCTAAGAATGATTTTCCTACGTGTGTGTGTGTGTGGTGTCCCCAGAGGCCAGAAGAGGGCATTGAATTCCCTGGAATTGGAATCGTGAGCCACCATATAGGTCCTGGGAATCTAGCCTGGGACCTCTGGATCAGCCAGTGCCCCTAACTTCTGGGCCATTTCTTGAGCACGAATCATGTTTCTTAACGCCTTGTTCAGGGGACACCAAGCATGTCCTCACTGGCTCAGCTGACAACAGCTGTCGTCTCTGGGATTGTGAAACAGGTAAGCCTGGGCCATTCGCTTTTCAGCAAGAAGTTACCAACTTCATGTACCTGTCCAAGCAAATGTGTTCTGAAGGACTAGAGCTAGATGGTTTCCTGTCTGCTGATGAAGAGACAACAGACAAACAGCAAGGAGTTAGCTGGGGAAGAAACGTCACATTAGATAGTAGGACATGTTCAGGAAGGCCAGAGAGGGACAGTGGACCTCTGGAGTGGGAGTGCGTGGCCTTGGAAGGTGTGAGCAGGGAGTCTGGGCACAAGCTGGAGGGAAAGCAAGGAGTGTCCAGGTAAAGGGCTGGGACAAGCCGTGTGTGACAGCACACAGACACTGAGGCAGGAGAATGGAAAGTTTAGATGAAACTGAAGGCTGAGGCCAGAGAAGCCTTTATTGTGGAAGCAGAGAACTTAGTTCCAGATTCAGGGAGCACGGAAGTCATTGCCTTCACTTGTGATCCCAACAGGTTCTAGTGGTCACACGGGTGGCCCTGCTTAAACTGGGTCACAAAACAAAAGTAGAAGTCACAGACCTGGGAGATGGATTGATAGGGATATAAGTGGTGGTGGTAGGGATGGGAGGAAGTGCTGCAGGGTGGGGCTGGGGAGCAGCAGTGGGGAGGGGGAG